TCCGATGGGAGACTAAATACCGAAAGTGGTTAACATTAGAGAGGGTAGTACCGTTAAGCTGGATGGATGGTGGAGGTGTGGCTGAACCGGGAGCAGGTTGAAAGAGAATCTGAGTCTTACGTACATTCACCTCAAGGCCGAAGTGTGCGTAAGCATCTACGTAGGTGTTCAGGATCTCCTGAAGGTTGCGTTCAGTGTGAGCGACAAGGGTGAGGTCGTCTGCATACTGAAGTTCAGTAATAGAAGCTGCCGACACTTTGTTCCTGCCTGGAGTCGTCTTATGTTGAAAAGACCCTTCATCCGATACTGGATGTCCACCCTGCCGGCTAAATTGGCACTGGCACGAGTAAGGAAGGCAGCCAAGAAAATGGAAAAGAGAGTTGTGCCAGTACACATCCTTATTTTATCCCCATTTGAATGGGGAAGAGTTCAACTGGGTGCCATTGTGTAGGACACTGCCGTTCACGCCATTGTGGAGTTGCCTCACAATGACAGTGAATTTTGATGGGCAGCCAAAACGGCTGAGGGTCCGCCATTGACCGAGTCGAAGGCCTTGGTTAGGTCGATGAAGGCCATGTACAGGTCACGACACTGTTCTCTGCACTTTTCCTGTATCTGGCGGACAATAAAGATCATGTCAATGGTGCCATGTGATGGTCTAAAGCCACATTGAGATTCTGGGAGGAAGTTTTCTGTCCTAAGAAGGAGTCTGTTTAGGAGGACTCGGGCGATAATCTTGCCAGCTACGCACAGCAGCAGATCCTGCGGAAGTTGCCACAGTCTGACCGGCCTCCTTTGTTATAAATATTGACGGTGGAGGCGTCTTTAAGAGCTTGGGGGATTTCCTCATTTTCCCATAATTCTCCAGCAGAGAGTGGAGATGGTTGGTAAGTAGGGGTCCACCTGCTTTAAACACTTCGGCTGGGATTCCATCAGGCCCTGTGGCTTTGTTATTTTTCATCTGTTTGATAGCAGTAGCTACCTCATCCAGGGATGGAGGATAGCTGAGGTGGGTCAACTGTGGATGCCGAGGGACCTGCTGGGTAGTCAGGACATCTACTGTACATCGGTGTTTCTATTGAGCAGCGAATCGTAGTGCTTTTTCCATCGCTGAAGGATGCCTTCTTCTTCTTTAATTAGGAAATTATCGTCAGATGAGCGAAGGGGGCTGTGCCATGAGTGATTGGCCCATAAAATGTTTTAGTGGAATTGAAAAATTTGTACATCTTGTGTTGATCTGCAAATTTTTGCATTTCACACTCTTTGTTTTTAAACTAGTCGTTCTTTAGATTTCGAAGTTCGCGCTGGGCCGCCGCTTTCTTCTTGCAGAAGGTATCAGTTATGGTTTGAGACTGAGGGTTGTTCTGCCAGTCATTTAAAGCCACACGTTTATCATTGACGAATACATTGACTTCCTGGTCATATTCATCAACCCAGTCCTGGTGTATTCTTTCGATCTGGCTTAGGGTCTCTGCAGGTTTTTGTCATTGACAGTGTCGAGAATATCCCATTCGGCACTGGGATTTTGGTTGTTTGTTGTCGGGTTGTTTATCAGCCCCTGTTCGAGTTGCTCTCTGAAGGCATGTGCTACTGCTGGATTCTCCAAACGCTTGGGCCCGAATTCAGAACGGTGTTTTGAACCTGGGATTTGAGCTCGGCTCAGGTGTGGGAATAGGGATTCCTCGATCGGAGATTTCCTGCAGTGGATTACTCTTATTCAGAGCATCGGCTTGAACCTCGGATTGGATAATCTGTTGTATTTTCTTCAATTCCGAGCAAGGATTCGAACACTGAAATTCCAGCCAATCGCGTTTCATTTACACCATTACGACAGCCAATCACCATCGAGATTGATGTTTACAATACTATGGCGGCAACTATGATTCGACGACTTTTTAAGGAGGAGAAATCTCTCCTTGCACATCAAAAGTTACTTTTATTATTGTAATTACAATCAAATTCTGGTCAAATTATAATGATTTATGGTACTGTGTTACAACGTGGCCGTGTTGTTATATAACAAAAAAATCATAGAGGAAGAACAATTACATACAAATTGTAGATATAATCCGGGACAGGTGTCAATATTCATAACCAAAGCAAGATGAATCAATGCAGGGCGTAGTAACCTGGCTAGGTTGGGTTCGGTTAGGTTTCTTTCTTTCTGTTCTTTTAACCCCACATTTCCCCTGATTGGTAATTTTAAGAAAAGACCCCTTTATTAATACATTAAGAATCAAAATTCACTCGGCATTGATTCAATTATATTGAAAATACATCAAAATAGTTTTCCTAAAGAAAAACGCCCAAAATAAAGAAGCGTCAGTGTTCTTTACATTTACCCAGTTGATCTCCACGGACCCTTAACTCGAAAGTGTTGTAACACATTACCATAACTCACTCAGTCACCAGAAACTTTCTTACCTGGAAACTATTCGTTGCGAAGAATCTCAAAGCAATCATCAGCTGATGAATGGGAGGTCGAGGTGAACCATAGCCAATAGAACTGTCAAGTAGATGCTCCATATTACGGATAATATCAAGGAAATCTCCCATGCTGAACCTATATCGTTGTCTGAATTGCGTATCATCATAACAATTTATAGGATTCTGCCTATTTACCATCAGTATTCTCTCTACAAAATTTTCAATTTGACGACATCTCCGAAAAGCGCACTGTCAAAATTCATGTTGACTTGCTATTTTGAATGATGGAACGACCACTAAACCTGCCTCTAGGTAGGATTAACGCGAGGATCGACAAATCCGATCTCAAACTCGGTTTGAATCTTTGCATTGGCTCAATTTTTGAATACCAACAATCTTCAATCGTTGCTTGGTCCTTAGTTTAAACCTTCATGCGGTTTCAAACCAGCATTCTGAATTTGGACCCGAGTGTTAAAACCTCTTCTGGAGGCTTGTTGCTTTCGCCACACACACACATCCGAGAGAGATGCAGGTTCATTGGCCAGTTCTTATAAGCCCTCAACCTAAACAAAGCTAACTTATATTTAATTATTAGGGGCCATTAGAGACTAGCCCAATTAAAATGTTACTGTAGCTTAGAGAAGTGTTCCGTTGTTCCGTGTTTAGATAGATAGGTAGGTAGATAGATAGTCAAATTGTCCTACAAGTTCACATTGGTTCAGCATGCATATAATACTTAGTCTTGGTATACAGTGTAGGAGGTAGATACTGTATTTAAAATATGTATATGGTAGAGTGTACATAGACAGTGCAGATAATTACATGGAAAATTAACTTATTGCTCAATAATAGTTATTTTAATTCAGCTGAGCTCTTTTTTTTGTCACGTTATGTAACTTCAGGGTTGTCCGTCGCATTGGCAGCATAATGTCTCTCTTGACTCAAATGGTTGAAGACCTTCTCTACCTTCATTACCTTCAAGACAAATTTTTCTCCCCCACCCCTCCCCCTATTACCTGTTTTTGTGGCCATTATTCTTGGAAGGGGAAATATAGTGTTTGTCAGTCACACACCGCTGGGGAAAATACTCTTCGACCCCCCTCCTTCCTAACTCTTTCTGTGTTATGAGTTTGTATACATTCTTAAATCTTTCATTACTGGAATAATCATCGTAAAAACACATAGGGGTGTCTTGACCCTGGTAGCTTCTCACCACCATAAATGTCAGTTGTTTTGTTTTCTGTAATATATTGGTTATAGAACTTATAGTACACATTTCCAAGATTGTATCCTTACATATGAAAAAGAAACCTGGAGTGTAAACGATCTGTAGTGACGTAATGGTAGTTGTATTGGTGACTGTTATGGCATTTACCCATTTATTTTGTTGACTTATTATACGATACAAATTGATTATATTAAACTTAACTTTTAGTGTGATTTGATTAGGTTAGGTTTATATAGGTTTGATGGGGCTTTGTTAGGTTTGATTTGGTCGGTTTAAGATTAGTTTGTCAGGTTTAGGTTCGGACACCTTAACTTCGGTCAGGTTAGTTCATGTTAGGTTATAATTAGGTTAGGTAGGTTAGTTTAGGTTAAGCTTAGTTCGGTCAAGTTAGGTTAGTTTAGGTTCGGTTAAGTTGGTTAGTTCAGGTAGGTTAGGTTAGGCAGGGTTTACTAATACAGTACCACAATACGATTCATGTAAGCAGCCACGAACACACCGCAAGGAAAACAAACATGCGCCAAGCATAGTCGATTGATGAACCTTTTGACTGTAATAATTAAAATAATAAGATATAAACAAAGGAAAAATACGACTGTAATTCTTTTAACCTAATTAGCCGTCAAGAACCGACCACCCAAATTTTGTGAATAAAGTATGAAACACGACCGAAGCTTGTCCCAATGTTATATGTCCCGTGTTCCAGTGTTATGTAGCCCCGTTTTCCAGTGTTATGTAGCCCCGTGTTCCAGTGTTATGTGGCCCCGTGTTCCAGTGTTATGGCCCCGTGTTCCGGTGTTATGTAGCCCCGTGTTCCAGTGTTATGGCCCCGTGTCCCGGTGTTATGTAGCCTCGTGTCCCGGTGTTATGTAGCCCGTGTTCCAGTGTTATGTAGCCCCGTGTTCCAGTGTTATGTAGCCCCGTGTTCCAGTGTTATGTAGCCCCGTGTTCCAGTGTTATGTGGCCCGTGTTCCGGTGTTATGTAGCCCCGTGTTCCAGTGTTAGCCCCGTGTTCCAGTGTTATGTGGCCCGTGTCCCGGTGTTATGTAGCCTCGTGTCCCGGTGTTATGTAGCCTCGTGTCCCGGTGTTATGTAGCCCCGTGTTCAGTGTTATGTAGCCCCGTGTTCAGTGTTATGTGGCCCCGTGTCGGTGTTATGTAGCCTCGTGTCCCGGTGTTATGTAGCCTCGTGTCCCGGTGTTATAGCCCCGTGTTCCAGTGTTATGTGGCCCCGTGTCCCGGTAGCAGCCTCGTGTCCCGGTGTTATGTAGCCCGTGTCTGTTATGTAGCCTCGTGTCAGTGTTATGTAGCCTCGTGTCCCGGTGTTATGTAGCCCGTGTTCCAGTGTTATGTGGCCTTGTGTCCCAGTGTTATGTGGCCTTGTGTCCCAGTTATGTGGCCCCGTGTTCCGGTGTTATGTGGCCCGTGTTCCGTTATGTGGCCCCGTGTTCCGGTGTTATGTGGCCCGTGTTCCGGTGTTATGTGGCCCTGTGTTCCGGTGTTATGTGGCCCCGTGTTCTGCGTTATGTGGCCTCGTGTCCCAGTGTTATGTGGCCTCGTGTCCCAGTGTTATGTGGCCCCGTGTTCCGGTGTTATGTGGCCCCGTGTTCCGGTGTTATGTGGCCCCGTGTTCCGGGTGTTATGTGGCTCGTGTCCCAGTGTTATGTGGCCTCGTGTCCCAGTGTTATGTGGCCTCGTGTCCCAGTGTTATGTGGCCCCGTGTTCCGGTGTTATGTGGCCCGTGTTCCGGTGTTATGTGGCCCCGTGTTCCGGTGTTATGTGGCCCCGTGTTCCGGTGTTATGTGGCCCTGTGTTCCGGTGTTATGTGGCCCCGTGTTCCAGTGCTATGGCCTGTGTCCCAGTGTTATGTGGCTCGTGTCCCAGTGTTATGTGGCCCCGTGTTCCGGTGTGCCCCGTGTTCCGGTGTTAATGTGGCCTCGTGTCCCAGTGTTATGTGGCCTCGTGTCCCAGTGTTATGTGGCCTCGTGTCCCAGTGTTATGTGGCCCCGTGTTCCGGTGTTATGTGGCCCCGTGTTCCGGTGTTATGTGGCCCCGTGTTCCGGTGTTATGTGGCCCTGTGTTCCGGTGTTATGTGGCCCTGTTCCAGTGCTATGGCCTCGTGTCCCAGTGTTATGTGGCCTCGTGTCCCAGTATGTGGCCCCGTGTTCCGTGTTATTGTGGCCCCTGTTCCGGTGTTATGGCCTCGTGTCCCAGTGTTATGTGGCCTCGTGTCCCAGTGTTATGTGGCCTCGTGTCCCCAGTGTTATGTGGCCTGTGTCCCAGTGTTATGTAGCCTCGTGTCCAATGTTGTGTAGCCCTCGTCCCAGTGTTATGTAGCCTCGTGTCCCAGTGTTATGTAGCCTCGTGTCCCAGTGTTATGTAGCCTTGTGTCCCAGTGTTATGTAGCCCTCGTGTCCCAGTGTTATGTGGCCTCGTGTCCCAGTGTTATGTGGCCTTGTGTCCCAGTGTTATGTGGCCTTGTGTCCCAGTGTTATGTGGCCTCGTGTCCCAGTGTTATGTGGCCCCGTGTTCCAGTGTTATGTGGCCTTGTGTCCCAGTGTTATGTGGCCTCGTGTCCGTGTATGGGCCCCGTGTCCCAGTGTTATGTGGCCTCGTGTCCCAGTGTTATGTGGCCCCGTGTCCCAGTGTTGTGTAGCCTCGTGTCCCAGTGTTATGTGGCCTCGTGTCCCAGTGTTATGTGGCCCCGTGTCCTAGTGTTATGTGGCCTCGTGTCCCAGTGTTATGTGGCCCCGTGTCCCAATGATATGTGGCCCCGTGTCCCAGTGTTATGTGGCCCCGTGTCCTAGTGTTATGTAGCTTTGTCCCAGTGTTATGAGCCTCGTGTCCCAGTGTTATGTGGCCTGTGTCCCAGTGTTATGTGGCCCCGTGTCCCAGTGTAGCCCCGTGTCCCAGTGTTATGTGGCCCTGTCCCAGTGTTATGTGGCCCCGTGTCCCAGTGTTATGTAGCCTTGTGTCCTAATGTTGTGTAGCCTCGGGTATTAAGAATTAGTTATGTTTATGATCCGTGTTGTAATAATTAGTTGCACTTGAGCCCCAGGTTTTCAGAATTAGTTGTGTGTGAGCTCCAGATTATGTTTTGAAAACTACCATAACACAAACGAGCCAGATTACTGTATATCCCTTCCTAAAAACTGACTAATTTTTTTCAGTGGATTTGTTAGGTAAATTGAGTTATTTATTTTGATTTTATTTTATGTTGGTATCACAAGCCATGTGTCAGTTCAAATCTGATCTGTCGAAACAAAATTTGTAACCCGTGTGTGTGTGTGTGTATAATAATAATAATAATAATAATAATAATAATAATAATAATTAACGGTTTATTGAAAGTTCTGCAGACCGAAGGCTGAAAATATATTGGACATAAATGACTTATTACATACATTGGCATTGGTAGTTTAACAAAAGTCTTCATTAGAGAATGGAAAAGAAACATACAGTGAACATACAGATCAATGTTTACAGTGAGGTCACGTAGATCATGTGCGCTGAGGTGTTGAACAGCAGACACGTAGTAGTAACCCCTCACAGATGGTGTTATGAGGGCCTGACGTGGTGTAGTAATTCCCCACAGGTGGTGTTAGGAGGGACATCACGTGGTGCAGTAGTTCCGTCACAGATGGTGTTCTGAGGGACCTCACGTGGTGTAGTAGTTCCCTCACAGATGGTGTTATGAGGGGCCTCACGTGGTGCAGTAGTTCCCTCACAGATGGTGTTCTGAGGGGCCTGACGTGGTGTAGTAATTCCCTCACATGTGGTGTTATGAGGGGCATCACATGGTGTAGTAGTTCCCTCACAGATGGTGTTGAGGGGCCTGATGTGGTGTAGTAATTCTCACAGGTGGTGTTATGTGGGGCATCACATGGTGTAGTAATTCCCTCACAGATGGTGTTATGAGGGCATCACGTGGTGTAATTCCCTCACCCGTGTGTGTGTGTGTGTGTGTACACCTTAACTGTGCTGTACTCTGCATCCTCTCCTGCTGTTCCTGCCCTTCTTCACTACTACATAAATTTTCTTATTGTATACACATTACACCTTGTCTGTACATACACACACACACACACGTTAGGTCCACCCAGTTCCTCCATTATTCTCCTACCCGCCCACTCTGCCTTTACACACCCCCTCCTACACCCGCAGGATCTGGTCCAGTAGTGTTGGGTAGCACGGTCGGGTGGCTACTAACAAGGCTCGGGTTACTATACTGGCAGGGAGAGCTAAACTAAACACGGGGAGGTCTCTCTCTCTCTCTCTCTCTCTCGTCACTATTGTAGAGCCAGACAGCCAGCGAGTGAGGCAGGCAGAGCTGGTCTTGTGAGAGACTGTCCCAGATAACCTGTTTTTTGATGAAACCTTTCTGGCCACACCCAGTGCCCCAACCTACCCGCCCACCCAGTACCCAAGGCACTCCTAATAACGTACCTACACTCAGTACCCCCGCCCGCCCACACTGCCCACATCCAGTACCCCCGCCTACATCCACTCTCCTCATGCCTCACTATCCAAACAGGCCACCTGGTGTGACCCTGAACACCTGGGGAGTAGGGCGACACACACACACACGTTCACTAGCGCTTGTAGAGAGAGTTAACCACAGAGATTGTTATCAGTCCATCTAGGTTAATTTTATCTGAGTTAACAAGTTAGGGTAGACTGTTAATTTGTAATCAGTCTTAAGGTACGGTAAGTCTCTGACACTAAAGGAAGAAGAGGAACAGAAGGAAAAAGGAGGAGGTAGAGAAGAATAAGAATAGAGGAGGAGGAGGAGGAAGGGGGTAGAGAAGAATAAGAAGAGAGTAGGAGGAGGGAGAGTTGAGTATTAAGAGCCTCGCTTTGTGGTGTTGTCAAGGCGGCATTAACAGTTTATGAGGAGGGTGTAGTATCGAGTGTCCAGGTGTAGGCGGAGTGTGGTTGGGTGGGGTGTAGATGTAGTGTGGCTGGTGGGGGGGATCACATAGCCTTGGATGAGCAGGGGAGGTGTGCCAATAGACGGTGGCACCCGGGCTGCCAGGGCCGTGTTGAGAGTGCCACATACCTGGTAAGGCTGGGTGTATCTCCCCTACAAAGGAACACTCAGTCAACCATACGAGTTCGATACAGTACGTGGACTGGTTGATGTATAGACAGGTAGGTAAATAAGGACAGACAGGCAGACAGACAGATAGGTAAATAAGGAAGACGAAGACAGACAGGTAAATAAGGGCAGAAGACAGACAGGTAAATAAGGGCAGAGACAGACAGACAGAGACAGACAGATAGGTAAATAAGGGCAGAGACAGACAGACAGCTAAAAACAAGGACAGAGACAGACAGATAGGTAAATAAGGAGAGAGACAGACAGACAGATAGGTAAATAAGGAGAGAGACAGACAGACAGACAGACAGGTAAATGGGAAGACAGACAGACAGGTAAATAAGGAGAGAGACAGACAGACAGATAGATGGGTAAATAAGGACAGAGACAGACAGATAGAAAGACTGTTAACCTGACCCAGCAGTAAAGTGCGTTGTCGCAGGTCAACGAAAACAGTAAACAGATTCACTCCTCACCACAGTTCTTGTAGGAAATATATATTGTTTGCACAAGGTAGGAAAATATGTACACACGTCACCCACTAGCGGCGATGACGTTACTAAATGACATCCCTGTCGTCATCATCCCTCCAGGTAAAGTGGTTTCCCAGAGCGAACCATGAACCCCGAGATTCAAACTCTTGAATCCGAAGCATTTATGGACTGAATAATGTATCAGTGTCTACTGCTTCGGGTTCACGAGTCTGAATCGTGGTTCGCGACAGGACTGTTTTGGGGTGACTGTACCATCACAACAGGTGTAAACTGACCATTTACGGCTCTGTTAGGTCCGGTCCCCTTAGATAGATAGATAGATAGATATGTATATTAACAAATAGATTGACGGATATATGAATGTATATATATACTTTATGTAGACGCACGTATTAAAGATAGATAGTTACATGCATACATATATACCCCACACGCATACATACATACATACATACATGAATGACAGACAAAGATAAATAGATTGGTGTATTTATTCATGGGACTTTAAATACATACATCGTGGGACTCGGTAAACACAAACATCAAGGGCCTCTGAACAACTTGTTAGAGTCAGTTATAACCCCAGTGTGTATTTGTGTTTTTGTATGCATGTGTGTTAGTGTGTGTGTGTGGTGACAGTCACACTCCCTGATGGGTGGGTGGTTGCCAAGGCTCTCTACGCTGGTCACGCTGGCACACACTGCAGGTACAGGCTGACCTAAACACCTCATCTACAGTCAGGCACGGTAGTTGATGTACAGTCCATGAAAACTAATGGTACACACACACACACCACCCGGTGTCTCCATGACCACGTGAGGGCCTTCATGTCAACACCCGAGGATGAGTTACCGCACCACGTGAATATCATACGGTGTCAACTTGAACACGTGAGGTCTTTAATATCAACCCCTCCGGACCTGTTACTGACTGCACCACGGGCCTACGTGACCTCACTCAGTATGGCAAGCGACCAGCCCGGACCATCAACAGTAAACTATAATAATTTGTATGTTCAATCATTGTTCCTCCTTTCAGTAGAAAGCTTTTGTTAACGACCCACCCACCCCATGTCTTTGTATGTAATAAGTCATTTTTGTCTAATGTATATTTTCAGCCTTCGGGCCGCAGAACTTCAATAAACATTAATTATTATATCATTATTATTATTATTATTATTATTATTATTATTATTAAGCACAGTGATGGTGTGTAAAGTATAAGGTGTAGTTGTAATGTTGAAGAGTGTTGCCTCCGGGTGTAGGACAAGGTGTTATGAGTGACTGCGGGTGTAATTAATGTGGGAGGTAGGGAGACGGGAGGATCAGGGTGACGGGAGGATCAGGGTGACGGGAGGTGAGGGTGGTGAGAAACATACACCCCACCCAGCATCCTTCCTATTGTTTATCTGTTGTAGACGTTAATTACCGTCACGCAATACAGAGTCGCCAGGCACCTCCCTCCCTCCCTCCCTCCCTTCCTCCCTCCCTCCACCTCACTTCTCTCCTTTTCCTCCCTTCACTATCACTCCTCTTACATCCTCATTACCACACTCCTCCTCCTTCTCTCCCTCCCTCCATTACCACACTCCTTCCTTCCACCACCACCACCCACCACACTCACTCACCTCACTCCCACCACCGCACCTCCTCCCTCCTCCACCACTACCACCACACTCCTCCCTCCACCTACCTGCCACCTCCTCCTCCTCACCACCACCACC